TTCATCAAGCCGTCACAGAGGGCGTTCAGGGCTTTGGGCCGGTTCATCTGGACCCAACCCACATTCTGCATTTCTCCCTTGTTTTCCACCACGATATACTTACAGTATAAGGTGCACTGGTGCTATACCGCTGTGCATCCATCAAAAATAGAACAGTGGGTTTCACGACAAGCGACATGGATCTGCAAAACATCGTCATGTTTTCAAGAACAGCGCTACCAGAATTGCGCGTGACTTGGCTTGGCAAGTAAAAAAGACATAAACATACAAGTTGTGAAAGAAATTAGTACAATATTCTCTTGCCTTATGGGCACGATCTACACACAGCACGGCAAGCTTCGTTTTATGTTACTGGACTGACGTTAAGCGATCGTACTATGTCACTTTTGAGACATACTGATGTCACCTCAAGATGGATTTTTTTGTGTTTGTATTTTGATTCGAAATGTAGGCATAATAGAAACCATTGTGAGAAGAAACACTTCATTTCCACTCAGCATGTGTACTTAGCTGTCCCTGTTTAACCTCAATAGCTACATTTTGTAGTTCCATTTCACTGGACGTACTACTTGTGTTTCAGTAGATAAATCTCTGTTAATGATGAGACCTTAGTGATTCGTTATTAATTTTACGAAATACAATACGCTATATATATATAATATATACCCTTTATTTACTATGCACTCCCTCACCATTTCCTACATACACATTACCACTTTACAGTCTGTGACTTTTATATTTTATATATACTTAATTAAATTTTTTTTACCATAGCTATTTTTAGAATTCAGTACAAAATACCCTGCCTCACGTTGTGATGATGTAATTACCTACCAATTTTTATGGCAGTGGAAAGCCCAATTCCATCCATCCATCCATTTTTCAAAATCACTCGTTTTATTCAGGGTCACAGGGGGTCCAGAGCCTAGCTTGGAGGCTACGAGCACAAAGCGGGGAACAACCCAGGATGAAGCGCCAACAATAGAAAACCAACACCAGAAATATATTCTGCAGTAGTCTGCCAAAAGTATGGTAACGTGTGGTATGATGCAGAAGAATAGGGCTATAGGGGGTCACTGGGATAGGTCCATTGACTTCATCCCATTTCAATATATATATAATGCACAGTTATATACTGTAAGTACAACATGTTAATAAAATACACATCATTGGCCAGCTCCAAAAACTGTGAGTAAAGGAATCAGTAATGTAAAATACAATAGAAAAGAACAATATAAAACAAGTTAACAATTAAATAAGACTATTTAAGATTAGACATAAAGAAAAATATAAAATACACAGAAAAATAGATGTACAACTGGATATTAACAGAAATAAAGGCACTATGTGCAAAGAATAGACTGGAAGGTCAGATTGACTTCAAATTTCTTCTGCTGTTGCCTCTCGACGTGTAGATTATAACCTATAACAGGGGTCTCCAACTCCGGTCCTGGAGAGCTACTATCCAGTAGGTTTTCTATCCTACTTGGCTTTTGACGAGCCACACCTGCTCCTGGTATTTACCTGAGAACAGGTGTGGCTCATCAGAAGCCGGGTATGATAGACAACCTACTGGACTGTAGCTCTCCAGGACCGGAGTTGGAGACCCCTGCCCTATAAAATGCAGGAGTGTAGCTGCAACACTTAAAGTTTTAGAAACAGGAGTAAGATCTTAGCAATCATCGCCTCTGCTGAAATAATAGCCCTCCCTTATCTCTGGATGTGAAGGTCAGATTCATTCCCAACAACTTCTGTTTTTACCTCATGCCCTGTATATTACTTAAATAATTTTAGTAATTACATTTTTCTATAGTTTAACTTTACTATGATGTTCTTTTTGTTGTATTTTTTTATTTATCCGTCCAGTTTTTGGAGCTGACCAAGTGTGCAATTCACTGGCATGTTTACTTGTGCAACTGTACCTCATCTTGCTTAATAAAGCCTTTCTGCATTCAGATGAATGTTAGGTGAAAACATGTAACAGATGAACAAATAACACTGACCTGTGCTTTGATACACGAAAAACAACATTCCTCTCTGTCACCTGTCACGAAACTTGTTTACACCCAGCTTAGTAACGCTAGTTAGCGACAGAGAAAGCCCTTCATTGTTCCAGGAAACTGAGACACAGCCGTAGCATTTCCTCCAATCAGAACGGAGACACTGGTTTTGGTTTGTTTTGGAATGAGGCACCCATGCAACTGAGCTGTACTTCCAGGGTGGGACGGCCAATAGCTTTAGAGTTTGATGGGGTGTGTAAACATCTGGCCTGGATGCCTGCACTATGGCTACCTAAAACAGCACTGCAGTCAGTAGAAGAGATCAACTCTACTTTCACAAGCAGTGAAGTTCTTACCATGAGGAAACTCAACACAGCCACACGTCATCGCAAGAGTACATCCTATGATTCAGAAGGGAATCCCCCATCTTAAAGCCTGTCCCAAACTGAAATGTCACCCAGTCATCAAAACAATTAACACAAATCAGGCATATAAATCAGCGGGCCTTTATTTCAGAAAAAGGATACAAGAAAAAAAAAACCACAACAGATATTATCTTAGTAGTACAAGAAAGCAATACAAAGGCATGCAAAAGTTTGGGCACCCCAAGAGATTTCAGCTCTCAAAACTTTTACCATGGTCTCAGACCTTAATAATCCTCTTAGGGCTATGGCTTGCTCAAAGTCCTTAAAGGCCAGACGACGCCAATCAACTTCCTCACCACAAAATTCGGGGTCCGATGTTAGCAAACGAATATCCAAACAAGTCTGATGCATTCTAGAACCAAGACACGCAGAGTGCCACTTCAAGCCATTATCCCTTTGTCTTGAAGCGGAATCAAAAGTAAATGAAATTAAAAAGCAATCTTGCTTTAAATATTAAACATATGTTGTCTAACTTCATGCCTTTTAGAAGTCATGTCATCTCTTTCTTGCTTAGCTTCACAGTGCCCAAATTTTTGCATGCTGCTATACGTTAAAGTAACAACATTCCCAGTATTTGTACATGCGTGTTGCGATGTGTTATGCTACTTCGACACTTCAAGCTTTATTCCTCATATCACAATCAGTAGCCTCTCCCAAACTGCTGCTCTGTGCTGGGGGAGCAGGACAGGCCCAATGACATCACTGGCTGCCGCCACCCTCCTCCGGAACCGGTCTCGGTCTCTGGCCATCTGCAGCCAGCAGGATCCGTCACGGGAAACACGGTTGGCAAACGCCCAGGCCACAAGAGGGCGCACTTCTACCTTCTCGCTGAATGTCACCTGCAATAACAAAGGGGAGGTGTTAAACGAAACCTGGGGTGTTACACAAAGAGCGCAACACATAACCAGCCACATACATCAGCTGTTCACCGCATTTGTATTAACACATTACTGAAGATGTTGTCAAACCCCAAAAAGAATGTCTCCCTGTGGGACTGGAACACAGAGGCACTTGGGTCTCCGGTGGCATCATCCAAATTACATCCATTAATATGGCAGACAAGAAAGGCAAGCTCCGACTTTCCTCCTCATACGTCAGCTTTGTAGCCAAACCCAGTGAATCAATCACCGACCTCCATTACTGTTCGCTATATTATTGCTACACTATTGCAAGTACTCCCAGTGTTGGGTGATGCAAGCAAACTGCAAAGACCGGGAGGGGGGAAAAAAAAAAAAACCATACCATTCAAACTTGGAGAAGCAGCAATTCCCATAACACCATGCCCCACAATACCTTTTTGTGACCCGGAGTGGGCATCTCCTCCTGCAGAGGGCGTCGCTGTTCCTCTTCATCACAGAGAACTTCCACCTGCGTTCCTCTGGCCTTTGGAGTGCAGCTCTCTGGTGGGCAAGTGGCCTGAGACTGAGACTTCACCACAGAGGAGAAACTGAGCAGATTGTATGGGTCATCAGTGCGGAAGAAGGATTCCCAGAGTTGAGCATTCTCAGAGTTATCATAGTCGTCGTCGTCGTCATCAGACCAGCTTGAATCACTGTCCCAGCCTGGCCCCTCCGAGGACACACTGGATTTCCCAGGAACAGCTTCATGGGCCTCATCAAAAGAGACTTCACATGAGTCCCATTCCAGCCACTCCGACAGGTCAACATCCTGCTCACTTCCGTCATATCCCCTAGGGAAGGCAGCCTCCAGGGTCTCATCTAAGGAACTCACACGCCCATCTTCCCTCAGAGTCTTCTCATCCAGAGCATACACCATACTGCCCCCCTGTCCAGCCAGGTGAGGGGTCCACATCCAGCCATGGACAGTGGACCCCTGCTCTCGCACCGAACACTCCTCCATGTGATCCTCAAGCATTCCAAATCCTAGAGCAGCCGCATCTACGGAAGGATCCGTAACAACGTCCATAACGATCGGCAGTGGGCACACCTCAGGCCGCAGAGCCTTCACGGCTGCTATACAGCGACTCATGATTTTGGACAGCGCCGCCCTTAGGTGGCGGAATGCCTTGTGAAACACCTGGAACATTCTCATCCGCGTCGGCCAGTCTGCTTCCAGGCCTTTTTTCGGACGGGGCATCCTTGGTAGGACGATGGTAGACAATAGTGTAGGCCACTCACTCATACTGACCCCCCGCATGTCACGTGACACGGAGAACATATGGGGCGATGGATACTGGGAGTGAAAGGGGGCCATATCCACACACATTCTGGGGAAGAAAAAGCCAAGGTAACTAATAAACCAAACCAAAAACGTCTGAAACAGGATAAATAGTACTCCATCACTAGACAAAGGCTGCAGTAATTAAATCTTAACCAAAATGAGCATAAGAACATTTGGTACAAAAAAAGGTTCACATATATAGGAACGGATGTGGTTAAAAACCGTCGCAAATCGAACATCTCGCAGTATTACGACCTTCCGTAGTACTACGTCGCCCATAATGTGTATTATACACAACTGGCAAACGAAAAACTAATATTAATATACTAACATTGCCGTAGTCTCTAAATAGCACCGCAGACATTTAAAGAAAAAACACCCTCCTTTAACAGACAGCGTTTTTGTTTACTAGCTTATGTCGGACTATCCTATAATACTCACATATCTATTAGACAATAAATCGTAAATAAAATTATCTAATTAAATTACCATGTTAAAATAAAACTCACCTTTTTGATTCCGTATCTCAGCCAGTCGCCTGAAAATCACTCCAACGAAGATTAGGTGACCTTCGGTTGAAAATACCTTCCTTCTCAACAACAAACAGCAACCTTGTCAGAGGAAAAACGTCTGCACTTGGTTTTCTAAAAGAATAACCCATTTTCTTGGCGGAAAACAGCGAAATAAACGCAAGTCACGAAACAACCAAATACAATTCTCTTCTTCTTTATCGGATGATCTGCACACGGCACGCTGCTTTCCTTTATATAACCGGAAGGGGGAAGGGGGGGGGGCGAGGATTTCGGCCAATCATACAGCGAGGCGTATGACATCGCATCGAAAGTATGTGCATTACGTGACTGGGACAGCTGAGTGATTCTGGGGGACTCTGAGACGGAATTTCCTCTGTGTTTTGGTTGCGAAACGTAGGCGCGATAGCAAGAGTCACTACAAGGTCTGACTGCGGTATATAAAAAGGTATTTGAAATCTGCATACAAAATGTTTTTACATCACTGAATAAAAAAGCTACTAAACGTTTTAAATCTGCAGAGAATTTAAGATTTTTATATAAGCCTCCATTTAGATACATAACATTTGCCCTCTCCCTTTTTTTCCTACATTCTTTATTTTTCCTCTCCATTCTTCTCTTTCCACTAATATAAAAGTATATGAGTCTGCTGAATTATTTCATTATGCTAAAAACGTCCAATGCACATTATGCATTGTGCACTATCTGTTGTTTGTGCTTATGCGCCAAACAGCAGTTCAGAATACCCACCCCTTTTGGAGTCCTTGGAAGGGGGGTTGGAGAGCACTCCTCCCGGGGACTCTCTTGTTCTGCTGGGGGACTTCAATGCTCACACGGGCAATGACAGAGAGACCTGGAGGGGTGTGATTGGGAGGAACGCCCCCCCCCCGATCTGAACCCGAGTGGTGTTTTGTTGTTGGATTTCTGTGCTCGTCACGGATTGTCCATAATGAACACCATGTTCAAGCATAAGGGTGTCCATATGTGCATTTGGCACCAGGACACCCTAGGCCGCAGTTCGATGATCGACTTTGTGGTCGTGCCATCGGACTTGCGGCCGCATGTATTGGACACTCAGGTGAGGAGAGGGGCGGAGCTGTCAACCAATCACCACCTGGTGGTGGGTTGGCTCCGCTGGTGGGGGAGGAAGCCGGTCAGACCTGGCAGACCCAAGTGTATAGTGCGGGTCTGCTGGGAACGTCTGGCGGAATCCCCTGTCAGAGGGAGTTTCAACTCCTACCTCCGGCAGAACTTCTCCCATGTCCCAGGGGAGGCCGATTGGGCCATGTTCCGCGCCTCCATTGTGGAGGCGGCTGACCGGAGCTGTGGCCGTAAGGTGGTCGGTGCTTGTCGCGGCGGCAATCCGTGAACCCGCTGGTGGAAATGAGTTTCCTTTGCAGGGTGGCTGGGCTCGCCCTTAGAGATAGGGTGAGGAGCTCGGTCATTCAGGAGAGACTCAGAGTAGAGCCGCTGCTCCTCCGCATTGAGGACTGGAAGTACTGCTGCTGTGCCCCAACTTGGACTTGAACTTGGACTTGAACTTGAACAAGCACAACCAGGGGCAAATAAACAAGAAAAAAAACATTAGTCCTTGGATGAATTAAAAGTTACACAAAATGAATTACCAATTATTAAGTCTTTATTGTTTGAAGGTTTTGAAAAAAATACTTGCCTTAAAAAGGTTTTTTTTACAATAATGTTAACATTCCATGTTTTTATTAAAAGATTGCAAAAATAGTAATGGATGTGGACGAAAAATGTCCTGCACCTTTGTATTCTTCCAGAAAAAGAGGAACTCTTGCATTGGTCATTTTAGATTATTACAACCTTGCAGATTTGCATGGTTTCCAGTGTTGTTATAGTAGCCTAGTCAGTAAGGTGCCGTAATCTTGGATGGTTTAATCCATTTTGACTAGTCTAATTCTCCAATGGCTTTTTAGGAACTGAAATACCCAGATACCCACATCCATAATTGGACAATTCCGGATGAATTCTTTGATCTTGGATGTTTTATTTCACATACAAAGAATACCCCCTCCCCTCCCCAGCGGGTATTTCCAGAAAGCAGGTTTAGCGTGGAATCCCTAGTTAAAAGCAGCGACCTTGCTTTGAATATGAGTAATGGCATTGTGGCACGGTGTCACAGCAACGGCCTTCCTTCTTGGGGTGGCGTGTGTTCCGGCAGGTTACGAAGCTGTGTGTGTGATCGGAAGCTGACCGGTGCAAATCCTGTGGTCAGCAGAGTGACATCACTCTTAGGCCTTCGGCCGAGGCCTTTAACCCCCAGCCGCTCCAGGAAGCGGCTGATCCTACTTCCTCAAAAATATGTTGCATTGGATAAATGCATCATCTGAATAACTACAAATATACAGTATATGGAATGAAAACTCATTCCCGAATCAATGATGTGAACCAATGTCATAAGGCAGAGTTCGGTATTGGGGATGTTACACCTTAATAATTTAAATACAAATGTCTTTATTGGGGGATGATTTAGTCCAAATTAAATGGGGGGGGGGACATGTCCCCACCATTTCCTACGCCCCTGTGAACCATGCATGTGTTTCTTACACAGGGTGTTCCACTCGTGGAGTCACTGAGAATTCCGGTGTCACATTGGTGACGCAGTGCAGGCTACCCTGCGGTGACCTGTCACTGTCTGTAGTCTCCCCACCTCTCTGTCACCAAAGTGCAGGCCTGCTGGTGAAATATGGTGGCTTCTGGCAGTCTGGTGCAGTGGTATGGCGTTTAGCTTGATGTTTATCTCTTCTTCAGAGATCAAAGCTGCATGGGCCATCTGCTCTGTGTGAGGATGGCCCACACCGGGGTGTCATGCAGGACGCCTCTAACTGCCCAAACGCAGTGAGAGCGTCATCACGCCATCTTCCCTCTGGTAGGTCACGTGCCTGGCACTTGTGTGTAAAACCGCAGTATTCTATTTTTCTGTTATATACATGGACAGAAAGGTATTATTCAATGGGCAAGCTAATGTTGAGAGAGTCCATTCATTAACAGGCAAATTTACGGTATATGGATTTGAGTATAAACCTTATATAAACAGGTAGACCTGCATTTGAAAATGCAGCCACATAATTGAATGTTATACTGAAGGGAAATCAACCTTCAGACCTTATTTATAAATTCAACTCTTATATTTGCTACCCTATGTACATGCTGCTTATAACAAAATTGCAGTGTTAACCCTCAGGACTGAAAACACATTCATTTGCACTTGCGGAAACGTATACTGATATGAAGGGGAGAGGTAACAATACTCCCCACTGATGCAACCGCTTAGCAATAATGAACATGACGTCACAGTTATCGATCTTTGTATTACCTTTTGTATATTTTATTCGTCAGAAAAATAGCTTTGTTCGAGCTTCTATATCATAAATTTTTAATGATTCTACCATTAACAGCAAACCTAAACATCAAATGTCTTTAACATTTACATAAACCGTACATACACCAGAACATAAATACATCTTTTAAAAAATAAAACCATTACATTACACAACAAATTTGGTTGATGTTAAATAAGCACTGGAGATGCAAATTGATGTTTTCCAAGGAACGCTCGTCGTCCTGTCAGAAAACTCCCTGAGCTTATTTTGCTGGTCGGAACGGAGCGGATAATTGTAAATCTGTTTTATTCTAAGACAGATTCCCTAGCAAGCTGGGATCTATAAGAGCGGGTCCGCTGTGGTGATGGGAGTGCCGTCCTCGCTGCATTTCGCACCGGCATTCCTCCACCATGGTGACCACCTTGGTGATGTGCGTGTCGCCGGCGCATTTCAGCTGGACAGCCCTGCGAGTGGACTTAACGTGGGAGCAGTAGGAGCAGAAGGTCTGGGGCCCGTCGTCGCTGTTCGGAACATGCACGGAGTTGCACCGTCCGAAGCACAGGTTGTTCCTCAACACCACCGTCTCGCAGTTTTCGTGAGCGACGCTCTGCGCAATACAAATAAATCAGGGGTCGGTAGAAATATCCAAGCTAAGCACGCAAGTGTCTATAGAGATAGAGGTGCAATCAGTACAACGCAGAATTTTAATGAACATAGGTTGGTATGTACGTTATTAATTACCTGGAAAAATGGGACGGCGCGGCACTTCTCTTGATGTACTTCGTTATTCCTGATAGGAATGATGGATTGGAAGTCAGATCTTCTCCTGAACATGAAGTGGTTCCAGAACTTCTTCGCGTTTTTAAGAGGGGTGTCAGTAGGGCTCATCAAATCCACTGAAGATGTTGGTTTCTGGATGCCAGAATCTGTGGCTTGATAACCCGTCCCTGAAAACCTTGGCAAGGACGCGTGCTGGATGCCTCGCACTGCCTGGCCTCCGTTGCCTCGGGTCCGGTTGACTATCTCCTCTATCGCTTTCTTGAGATGTTCCGCGCTCGCGCTGCTCTCCATTTCGCTGGGCAGCATCACATTATACGACTCAGGTATTCTCCGCAACTCTCCCAGTTTTCTTCCAAGATAGTGACTTTGGTGGCTCCAACCCTGTACTTCGACCTGTAAAATGGTTATCAGCAAGACGGGCATAGACAAAGCAGACATTGCTACTGCTTTTAGGGAAAACACTGACCAGTGCGCGAGAGGGACGGTGTTTGGTGGACTGGGAGAACTTCAACCCTTAAGAAGGGTGCCTGGGTTCCGTATCTCCGCTAAAGACAGTGGGGTGTCCCGCCCAACAAAACTCAAGAAACACCTTTAAGATTTTAATTATGATAAAGCACGTGCTTAAATTGGTCCCTTTGTCACGTCAATAGCACTTCAAAGGATTTTCTTTGATGCTGGTTTCTCTGTTGAGGTAAGACAACGTTTATTGGGGTGTCTGTTTATGTGTGCTCCTGTCCCAATCAACAAAAAAAGCTAATAAAATGGTTTGGACGGTGGAATTGCGGTCCGTTTAACTTATCGCATTGACCAAGGTATCTCAACATTTGTTTTATTTTATTTATGGAAAATGTAGATGAGAAATGCAGTTCTGCTTTTATCACAATAATAATAGGGCCTACATAATAAAGTTTTTAAAAAAGATGTTCTCGGAATTTCTTCTAGGACTCCTAGAGTAAATTTCTATTGTTCTCTGTACTGCGGCAACGAGCTTTTTCTCTTAAAATCAGTTCGTGTACGTGAGTGTGCAGTTACATGTCTGTATGCATGTGTGTATGAGCAGTGCTGGCTGACCCTGGACTTTGGGGATTTTTGCCGATCCACATACCCATCGGCAAACTGCCAGATGGCCAGTCCAGCCCTCTGAATACGAGCATTGGGGCACAGGATTTCATAGCACAAAATACAGGTATATACCAAAAACACAATCATTTTATTTAAATGTATGAAAAAATGAGTATGACCCAATAACCATCGGTTCTACCTAAATTTATTAAATAGACAGACTGTTAAAATGCATTTAATTATTAAATTATTGTTGCCATTCTTTGTGAACCTCTGAATATCAACATGTCTGACTATACCACCCTCTGGTGATTTCATTTATCTGGTGCAATAAGCAATTAGGATAACAGATGTTATAAGGGGATTAAGATTTGGCCTAATTATTACCATGTTAAACTTATTCTCATCACAGTTATGTATATTCTCTATTATCTCGTTGTGGCCCAATACACATCATCTTTTAACGAAAGGGCTTTAATCCTTTTTGCTTTATTTGACGTTTGGTGGAGCATTGACTTCTGAAATGCAAAAACATTGACGGCAATGTGAGATGTGGAAGGTTTCCAGAAATAACAGAACAAGCTTTGAAAATTGATCAACATTGACGTGTTTTTTTCTTCAGCAGGCAAAGTTGAATGTCTCTGCGTTTCTGTTTATCGCAAGATGCAGGCACTGGGCAAACGAATCGCTTATATGAACTCATTCAAATGAAACGGTAAATGAATTTTAGGTGATTCTCCTATACAGGTTTTGTATTACAGTGTGGGGATTTTCGGAGGAGCTCGTGCTCCTTTGCTGTGCAGGGAGCGGCAGTTATTGGTGTGGTTGTTGTTCGGTAATAGTGCAGAGGTGTGACTGAGCATATGGTTCTGTGTTGTGGGTTGGGTTCTAATCACCAGGCTGCAGCCAAGCCGAGGAGTGAGGCTCGCGGGTGGGGTCGGATCCCGAATACACATCCAGCTCATTCACCATGTGGCGCAGATACTAAAAGTTATTTTATTTTAATTATTAGACAGGGCCTCACGCTATAATTCCCCATTTCAAACATCGGTGAATATTTATTTGCTTTTTTATAATCTATTAATGCAATACTGCCATTAGCAAAAATATCCTCTAAGCAAATTATATGATCTCAGAAAACTCTAACTATTAAAATATACTATGTGTTTATTTTTATATATAAACGATTAATATTCTTCAACATGTCTGCATTATTTGCATAAATTTTCTTCTAAAAGATCGATTTCTATGAAGTTCAAATTGATATGAAAGATATTCTGAAAACATGAAAAACGTTTGATTATGCATACTTAATACATGGAACTAGTTAATACATATTTTTCTTAGGCTTTGAGTACACCAAGAATAGCCATTGAATTCAACTCTCAGCTTTCAAAACCGAAAACAGTTGAGTGACTGGATTTAAGGGAAAATTGCTTTCATTTTCAGTTTGGCGACGTGAGGATCGCTGTAATTTCGCTGAATTCGAAAACACTGGGATAATCCCCGCAGTTTTTTGCGCCAAATGTAAGATACCATTTGTGCTGTCACAATAGGACAGCACAAGTAAAAGGTGTAAATAAACGTGTTTGGTCGTGTTTACAGTAGCATAAACTCCTGTACCTAACGATGATGTAAAACGGAGTTTACCACGGTTTGACAAACATGAATTAACTGACATATCATACTGTTTGCTACATTATAAAGCATAATCCACGTTTTGGACACAAAGCACAGAGATCCAAAGTGTGTTTCTGTAGAAGCCTGTTGTCGCAAGTGCATTTCCTTGGGCGGCAGGCAGGGGGCACCGTGTCCTATACAAAGAATTAAAAACAAGCTTTATATTTCCTGATTACAGCTGTACACTATAGAAGTAACAAGCTAATCTAAACAATTATAAAACACGTTTACATAGGAAATAGGCCTTGTATCTGTACTGTACTGAGGAAGACTCAGGAGCAGATTAAAGAAATATTTTCCCTCTAGAATTTAGGACGATCTGTTTCTCCACCAGATTCCACTGTTCCCCGGTATCCTAGTTGATTATTAATTAGAAGTTACACAATCGCGATTGTACTAAATGCGTTGGGGAATGTTTTTCATGGTTACGGTTGTATAATGCTAAATTAAAAAGACTTGGAGCTCGTATTTCGGTATCAGACACATATTAAAACATATTGTTAACGTGTACACGGGGAGGACGGGACAAAACCATAGTTCTACTTCATCCTCAACCAATATACCTTTTGAATTTCATTAGCAACGTCTATGGGTGTATTTTTGGCATGGAAAGAATTAAAAATTACTGCGAAAAAGTTTAGGTTATGTAATAATATGAATGTTAATAAGCATAACTGTCACACGTATTGATGTATACTGAGCTTAAAAAGAAACTTCTCAAGGTTTTCATTAGGGTGGTTTCCAGTTTCTGTAATGCAGAATATGTATCCTGTGCTTTTTTAAAATAAGTACCTAAGAGTCAATCACGTGGTCGTGGTTGGTTGAGATTTGAATGGTTCACTGAATTTGTGGAAACCAATATACAATTAAGGTGACTGAGTATAGTCTGGTAATCAGCTTAAAGATGTCTTGTGGGTTTTCTTGCTGACATAATGCCTTGGTGAGAATCCTCTCAGAAAATCACAGCAGCACCTTTGGGGAATAGGGACACGCTGTCCCCTTCCGGCGGCACCAGGACATCACCGTATTTCAACACGATAATGCTTATCCTCATGCAGCTCCGAATATTGATTTTTTTGGGAGAAAAACACACAATTTTTTGTTGGCGGTGGGGGTGCTGAAGGGGTGAACTAGAACCAGCACTGGTGTGAGATAAAGATGCAATACGCGTGGCTATCATACGTGATACCGAGAGCAGTAGTGATAGTTGCATTACCACCACTTGTCGTCTTTGTTATCAATTAGTAAACTGTTACAAACATTTTTCTGTCTTTATTGTTAGTTGATAAACTGTTACAAAAAAATCTGTCTTTATTGTCAGTTGATAAACTGCTACAAACATTTTTTGTCTTTATCGTCAGTTAATAAACTGTTACAAATATTTTTCTGTCTTTATTGTCAGTTAATAAACTGTTACAAGCATTTTTCTGTCTTTATTGTCAATTGATAAACTGTTACCCTTTTCTCTGTCTTTATTGTCAATTAGTAACATAAATTTCCTTTTGATGCTCAATATATAAAAACTGGCAAAACGCGGCGGTATCCCGTAGATTATAAAAGTGCAGCAGAGGAGTCCCACGGACATCTTCCAGCAACCCGCACGACTCCGAATTCCATCCTAAATAATAAGGGCGGAGGAAGTTCGTCCCCATGTTCTCGCAGCTGAACATCCTATTGGTGGCCTGCAAAGTCCATCACTGAACAGCCATGATTGCGGAGGCATGATCGCAGCCCGTCTATGACACCTCCAGATGAACTCCGTTATATTAAACGGCGATGTCCGAAGAGTAGCCCGGCGCTCGGATTTTAATTTTAATATAAATTATAACCTCTGACTTCGACGGATGCTTGTTTGACCGCGTGCCTGAGCAAAAGAAGGAGAAACCATGTCGCCTTTTTTCAGATGTGAATAAAATAGTTTTGCACTTCGTTGAATCGCCGGGTCTCTAAAACCTGCCTTACTTATATGACTTAAAAGCAGTGTTTAATACCGGAGCAAAGCGTATTCTAATGAAAACCCATAATGTCAGGGAAACATTACAAAGCTCATGAAGTCAGTTGCTGCATCAAATATTTCATATTTGGATTCAACATTATATTTTGGGTAAGCGGTTGCTCGTTTTACTATTGGGATGGTAATTATGAACGTAGCGGTTGATCCATTTGCGATGTGCTGATGTTAGGCCCCATCTTATGGGCTAAAATAAATCATTTTATGTCGGATTGTCTTTGTTTATTTCTATTATATTCAGACACCGTGAATATATGTACAGTTGCTGAAGTTTAGATTAGTTTATAGTGTATTTCACCTGTAATGTACGGACAGAAATCAAAACTTGCTTGATTTGTATCAAGATGTGTATTTTAATTGGATTTTTAGATCGACTGGCTAGCATCGTACAGGCAGGCTTGTTATTTAGAGACGTTCTCTAAAGACCTTTAATGTAATTTATCTTCATTTAGGCAGTGGCCTTAGCATCCTCATTGTGTGATTCAGACGAGCGCCTCGATGTTGACGTGTTATCGATTGATACCTTTATTGTGCAGCCAGGCAACGTTAGGATGTGAATTTCGGGAACATCGGTCACTGGAAAACGCCGTTTTCTGGTCTGCATTTACGCCTATTCAAACAGCTAATGTATATATTTTTATTTCCGAATATTCTGAATATTATGGGATGCAGTAAATAGAAAGTGTTTTCTTGTATTTTAACGGACCCTAATATTTTAGCAAACTGGGATAATTCAGGGTAATACGGTATGGCGAAAACGCATTTTAAGTCATAAACGTTCATGGCTAGTAGGAAACTCGTGCTGCATTTAGTCTTTCCCGGTTTATCGACGCGTGTATAATGGCTTTGCAGTGGATACTATTTCTGTCTCGCAAACAATTCAGACTTGGGAGGGGGGGTGGTTCCTTTGCCTGGCTGTGATGTCGATAGGAATAATGTCGACATCGTGACCGTAGCTCCGTGAAATGTAACCCCATTTCCCCGCTTATTGCCCGGCGTCCGTCGCCTGGTCCCTCCCCGCATTATGCGCTGCATAGAGGGGGGATGCCACCCGCAGGGCCGCCTTTATTAGGCGGGGGAGGGAGATAATGAACCCCCCCCCCCTTCCTATTTGAGAAAGGGTGATGTAATCCTGGAAATGGTCTTCGGAGCCCATTATATAGTGACCACAGTGGTACAGAAATAGCGCGTCATATCCAGATAAAAATACTTGTTTGCGTTTGTGAGGTGGGAGATCAGTGTGACCCGCATAGGCCTACTGCTATCTGTTAAGGTACAGTAGGAGCATAATCAGTACGAAACATCTGCCTCCACACGACACGGCAACAGCACCGATAAGGAATTCTATTCGATGGAAACATCCAATCCCAATAAAACAGCCCCTATAAACCATGTTTATATGCCACCGCGGATCCCTTCTGCGTGGCTGTCATTTGCCTTTATGTATTTTAAAGCAGTTTATTTTCAGCGGCGTATGATCCCTGTTACTGGGGCTGGCCATGCAGACGGTGTCCCTTGTTGCACGTTTTAATGCCGATGGCTGTGTAAGGATGCGGGTCTCCCCCGCTAATACCTGCAGGGACACGTGTCTGGATTCACAGCAGGGATAAGGTTACTCTCTGGGAGCAGACTCAAGTCGCGTTTTTTTTTTGGACAAACCTAATCCGTATTCAGCTGAGTCAAGTGAGATTTCTTCAGGGGCTTGAAGAATAGCTAACTGGGTATGATGATCATGGGCGTCCTTATCCCCTATGCCAATCAGCGTCTTGTTTTTCGCACTTTTTTGACATGGCCAGGATCAGTCCCAGCCTCTCCTGTCATTTCCCTATTTGGCCAGCTGGTGTCGCTGGCCATCCCATTCTGTGTTACCCTAGTCTTGCGCCCTTCACTGTTCCCTGTGTGATCCCCTGCGCCCCACGCCACTGTACTGCTGAACAGATGAGCGTGAGGCTGAGAACTGTGCATCCTTACAGTCGTGGGTTCGAGTTCGACCAGAAACCATCCCCAAGTATGCTGGACTTCTGGAGTTTTGTTTTCCCCCTTGTTAATCATCTTCTGTTTCTGTTTTTGTATTTCAGTACTGGTCCTTGTTTTAGGTTTCAGTTCATATTTAGTTTTGTAGTTATTCTCTGTTTTACTTTATGTTCTTAGTTTCTCCTAGTGTCTGAAGTCCTCAGTGCTTGTTAGTTACCGTCATCCGTCCCTGTAGTTACTAGTGTGTAGTTAGTAAAGGCCCACACCCATCATCAGGCCCTTCTTATCTGTGTATTTGAATTCCTGCCCTTGTTCTCTTCCTCTGTCAGCCATTGCATTTGTTCTTGTTCTTCTCTGTGCATATGCTCTGCGTTGTGTTTGTTCCTTGCCAGTGTTTCCTGAAGCTGTCGGGTTCTGTTTTCCTTTGTGTTTGCTTATAGCGTCTTTAATTCTTGTTTTGTCTCCTGTCTTTTTTTTTTTGTTTGTTTTCGATCCCTCGTGATCCCTTTTGTTTTTGCTAGTCTGTCTGTTTTCAGTAAAGCCCCTTGTGGCCATCCGGCTGCACTGTCGATCATCCTTCCCATTATGCCACGCCATAACAGACGTGATCCTCGTTGATGAAATACCAGACAACCTTTGACACTAACCCTACATGGAAGGAAAAGGAACTCAAAATGCAAAATGGGGACAAATCCCAGTATGTGAATGGAGAGTCGTGACTAGTCGCCTATGGACTTTATGCTGTATGGTGCTATCCAGCACTGTCAAATGTTGTCCCTTCTAGCCACAGTGTGTAGCGCCATATCTGCACCGGTATGGCATGAGTTCTATGTTGATTCGCTAAAAGGACTGCAATATTTTTCAGTAATGAACTGAATTGTCCTGGCAAGACACAGACATCCTTGTGCTAGACTTGTATGTAGGACTGAGGTTTGTTTGCTTTAGTGCCTCATCCTGTTTTTCCAGGTAGCTGAGTGTTACACTGCTATGCAGTGTGGGTGTGAAAAGAAATTCACTGCATAGAGCAAGCCATTTTTCCCCCTGTACTCATGGATGCGGTCACATGACCTGAACCAGAATGATGTCATCTATCTTGGCTGACCATCAGGATGTCTGCATAAAAAGGGAAACTCGTAATGACAAACCTGCCTTCATTTCTTCATCTTTTTTGCTTTGTTGACTTGGGTTAGTCTGCACCTTGTTTTGCTCCTTTAAAAAAAAAAAACAAAAAATGAATTTTCTGTCACTTTTGGGTACAATATTTCATCTTCATTAGAAGGATGTACTTCATGAAACATTCCCTCTCGTAGTCATTTTGAAGGACATGGTGGAGGTGGTTGTTGTTCTTAAGCCCTTGTATGTTCTTAGTTTTCATTGCTGTCTTTTGTTTTGCCAGCAATAATATTATTTCCATTTGAATCACTGCAAACCAGCCCTGGATCCAGTCTTACAAACTGAAGAGAGACTGAAACTAATATGTGGTGTTTTTCTTTCTGAATGCTTGGGAGATCAACCCAAACAAATGCAGTGCCGTCATTAATTCTCCTCACAGCCTATGGGTAGCAGAGAGGAGAAGCCTGCTTGGCTGTGAACCAATAGGATGGTGCTGGATAAGTTTTGTTTTGCCAATCATTAATTCACACTCTGAACTGGGAGGTTGGTGCAGATGTGTTTTAATATCACCTCACCCTGGACAGTCCGGGTCTCCTGCACTGGAACTCTTGTTCGCTGAGTTTGACATTGATCTGAGCAGAGCTGAGGGAGATTGACGCCTCTTTGCCCAAAGACTATCCGGCTGTCCTCAGAAACGTCTCACAGTCTGTGGCTAAGCTTGTTCTTCTGTCAGGACCTAGACGTTCAGGAGGCATCTGTGTAGGGAGTGGCTTAGCGGGCTAAGTCTCCGTGGCTGTGATGGGAAGATTGCTAGTTTCAGCCCCCCCCCCCCCGAGACAGTCCTGAGCAAAGCCCTTAACCCCCCAGCTCCAGGAGCACCACATGATGGCTGACCCTGTACTATGACCCCTGAACTATGAAAAATAAGATGGGATCGGTGAAAAGACCAATTTCTTTGTTCTTATACTTGTACTGGTGCGATGGCCAATGAAGAATGATACTTAAAAATATCTGTCACACATTTCTTTGTGTTGCCAAGCTGGGAGTTTGGGAGTGTTACCAGTGACCGGGGCAGCACCCCCAGTGATCGTGGCTCTCTGATTAGCAGTGACC